TTGTAGCCCACTTGGATACTGGTGGAACTGTGGCAAGCATCTGCTAAGTGTCTTGGCAGGTTCAAGGGTGGCATAGTTGATTGGAAGTGCCAGTCTACTCAGTCCAGAGCTGCGCATGATGTCTAGCAGTCTGTGGACTTCATGGACCTCTTCCAAAGGAATTTGTACCCTCCTGAGCAAGTCCTGGAAAGCCTTAGGAGCCTTTGGGTATGGCAGGAAAGCTGGAATCACTGCCTCATCTGGAGAGGATGACGACAGAATCACCAGCGTGATGTTCGCCTATTCCGGTTATTGTGGCTGTTGGGGAGGGTACTAGTATCACAGGTCTTCTGGGCCCCAATACTGTCATTGTGGGACTTAAGACCTTCTTGGTGCCTGGCCCCAGGGTGATGGGTACCGTAGAGGGGCTTGGCCGAGGCTCGTCCCTCCGCGTGGCTGTGGGGTATCTCACCGCCCCGCAATAGTTCGCTATGGGTCCAAGCCCTGGGTCAGGGCTGGCCAGTAAACAAACAGTCAGGAGCTTGGGCCCTTAGGCAGGGGCTGAGCCACTAGTTCAATATGAGCCCAGGCCCTGGGTCAGGGCGGGGCAGCAAACACACAATCAGGGGATCAGGCTTCTGATGCGAGGGGGAGACTGCCACCCATGAGTGGGGTGGCAGGGGGGACGCAGGCCCACCCACTTCACTGCGTCCCAGCCCGGGGCCCTAACAGCGGCAGAAGACTCGCTGCTGTGTCAGTGGGGATCCTGACCGCAACACACTGACATTGGTTCTGGCCCTGCTGCGCCCAGGCCAGGGTCGGCTGCCCCCAGGCTACTTCCGGACTCCCCCTCGTAAGGTACCTGGGTTTGGCCAGTGTCCTCGGCGGTTTCCTGCACCATCGGTTCCTCCGGGTAACTAGCGACGGGTAGGTGCGGCTCCTCCTCGGGGTAGCTGGCGAGGGGTAGGCTCAGCAGCTCCTCAAGGTAGCTGGCGAGGGGTAGGCTCGGTTGCTCCTCAGGGTAGCTGGCGAGGGGTAGGCTCGGCTGCTCCTCAGGGTAGCTGGCGAGGGGTAGGTTCGGCTGGCCCGGCCAGTCCTCGGGTCGGCCACAGCCTGCCGGCGTTTCCCAACCCGGAGGTAGGCCACAGGCATCTGGCCTCTCCGGCGGCTGGCCTTCAAGTGAGCTCTGCAGCGGGGTTTTCTACTTCCTGTCCTGTTCCGTGACCTCTGGGGGGCGGGCACAGGACCCACTAGCTCCGCTCACATTGGTGCTAGGGGAGGCTCGTCCCTCCCTCCGCAGGGCTGTGGAGTATCCCATCGCCTCGCTAAAGGTACCAATAAGTAAAGCGAGGGTAGTCTGTTCTTTTGGGAGTACTGAGATACACTGGAGACTCCTGACACACTGTATGAGCTTTGCCCCCAGAGGTGCCCCTCAGGGAATAGTCAGAATATGGGGCATACCCATCTCCATCTTTTGACTCTGACCTCAGATCCAAAACGGGAGAGGTCTCAGTATCTGAGGAGGTGGTGATCACCTGCCTCTACTCACCGATGGTAGCGGTATTGTGGTAGCTTAACCGCAGGTTGAAAACACAAAGGGTGCCAGATCTGGCAGTGCCGACACAGCGGCTGTTGTTGGTGTCAAAATACTACTCCCAGTACCAGGAGTTGACACAGTCTTGCCCTTCAATGAAGTACCAGGCTGGTCTGTCCTGATATCAGACAGTCCCACTCCAGAGCACGAGGTCTCTCCTGGCTTGGTATGAGATGGGGACATTTGCCTCTTTGAGGGCTTGGATACGGAGCTCCCTCTTTCCCTTATTGGAGTGCTTGTCTCTCCCTTCCCTCCCCATTTGCCTTGGCTCTGCTCAAGTTTCTTGGCGCCAGCTGGGAGAGGGTGTGGAGGCCTGGAACTGGCTAGAGCTAAGCTCAACGGGCTGCTCCTACCTTTTTCAGGCCAATGTACTGGGTTGGGGGGAGAGGGTGTCTCTCCTGTCAGCTGTCCATGGTCTCATGGGCCTCTCCATGAGGAGTTTTCAGACTTGGAACTTTCTTGACTGCTTTGTCCTGCTGCACCTGGTCTGGATGTGGGTTTCCCCAGGCGGTACAGACAGGCATCATAGTAGACTGTGACCAGGAAGAGCTTGTGGCAGTTGATGCAGTTTTTGAAGTGGAGGATCCTTAGAACCCTTTCCCTGCTGCCACTGGAAGAAGCAAAATGCCTTTTTTTAAACAGGAATTGCTCCTCCGAATTTTAGCAAACTGAACCCCAAATATCTCTCAATTAACTAGACTAAATAATTAAAGCTAACTAAGTATTAAAAATTATTTACAATTTATTTACAGGAAAAAGCTGAAGAAGTCAGCATGAACACTGATGCTCCGTCCTAAATAATGAGTGGTAAGAAGGAAGTAAAGATGGCAGCAGTCCGGCAGCTCCCCCTTAAAACCCTTGGTGTGAAGCACAAAGAGAGTGCGGGTGCCCAAGGAGAGCAAACTGACACTCCTAGGGAAAAAATCTCCAGTCCTGGGCACACAGAGTATATGCGCAAACCTGTAGTGCACTACACAGGAGGGTCAAGCACTTGAAGAACAAGTATGATCCTGCGTTATAGTGAGAGACTAAATAAATAAAATAAATAGTTTATCCAAGAGAAGATTAACAAAGATCTAATAATAGATAGCTCTTTAATCTAAAGGGCAAAGGCAGAACAAGGATTAGAAGCAAAAACTAGACAAATTCGGACTAAAAATAAGGTGCTTTTAGGGTTAGGGTTAACCTGAGTGATTAACCACTGGAAGAACATACCTACCTACAGATTCTCCATTACTTGAAGCTTTTTTACTTAAGACTGGATATCTTTCTAAAAGATAAACTATATAGCTCAAACAGAAATTATAGAATTAGTAGAGAGTTTACTGTGTGAGGTTCTTTGGTGTGTGTTATGCAGGAGGAAAGACTAGCTGATCACAATGATCCCTTTAAGTCTTAAAATCTATAAGTAAGTTCCAATATCATTATATAAATCAAATGGTATGTCAGCACCTAAAATACTTTCTTCAGTTTCAGTTACCCTGCCTCCAAAGGGATACAGCAAAAAGAGGCAGTTCAGAGACAGGTGACAAAATGATTAGAGGTGTGAAAAGACTTCCATTTCAGGTCAGACTGAAAATATTAGGGTTGTTTAGAGAATAGGCAATAAGAGAAGTATTTAAATGAATGCTATAGAGAAGGTAATAAGGTTCACTTGTTTACCCTCTCTCAATGCAAGAAAGTGCATTTAAAACCTATAAAAACAGTTGTTTTTTTAAACACAATGCACAAGTAATCCGTGGAACTCAATGTCACACGACTGAGACAAAGTTTAGTATGTTCATAGAAAGTATTAAACATTTCTATGAACTGAAAACCCCACAGATGCAATGGTGCCACAAGTTTGCCTTGGAATGGAGGCTCCCACAGCACTGAGGAAAAGATGGTTTCAGAAAAAGCCTTTCAGAATCTGACCCCCAGACCCTATCAGGGAGTGGTCAGGGTTTAGCAATGAGGATGGTTCAAGTCATTCAAAGCCCTTTCTATCAGAGCTCTTGAAAGGCATACAGTAGCCAGAGACTCAAGGGTCCATCTTTAGGGCTCCGTGTTTGTCATGGAGATTGCGGAAGTCACAGATTCCAGGGCCAGCTGCTTGGGTAGCCCTGGGGTCAGCCACGCCGGCTGCTACTGTAATGGCTCCCGCACCAGTCACTGATAGAGTGGCCCTGGGGCCAGCCGCACCAGCTGCTGTTCTGGTAGCCCCAGGCACCGCCCGAGCAGCGGCCGATGTGGCTGGCCCCAGGGACTGCCTGAGCAGCTGGTGCCAGGGGCCCCCCCAGGGCTCCTCCCCCTGGCGGCTGGTGCCTTAGCAGTATCCGAAGGGTTAGCTGTGGCGCCCCCTTGAGTGCCACACTCATGTGTCAGTATATTAGGCGCCACCAACCCTACGCCCTTCTCAGTTCCTTCTTGCTGACAACTCCGACAGAGGGACAGGAGGGTGGGTAATGGAATGGATATGAGCAACACATCTTGAAGAACAAAGTTACGAAAGGTAAGTAACACAACTTTTTTCTTCTTTGAGTGCTTACTCATGTTGATTCCATTCTAAGTGACTCACAAGCAGTAGCCCTGGAGGTGGGCTTGGAGTTCACGGTCGTGCGGCTTGCAACACTGCCTTACCAAAGCCAGCATCATCTTGGGCCTGCAGGGTAAGTGCATAATGAGACGTAAACGTGTGGATGGATGACGAGGCAGCGGACCTGCAGATATCTTGAATAGGCACTTGGGCCAGGAATGCCACCGCCGAGGCTTGCGCCCTAGTCGAGTGGGTGGTTACAATTATTGGTGGAGGCACTTTTGCCAGATCATAGCAGAAAAGGATGCAGGAAGCGATCCAGGATGAAATTCTCTGGGCAGACACTGGAAGACCTTTCATCCTGTCCGCCACCGCGACAAACAACTGCATCGGCTTACAGAACGGCTTGGTCCTTTCGATATAAAAGGCCAGGGCTCTCCTGACGTCCAGAGAGTGCAATTTGCTCTCTTCTTCCAACTTATGAGGTTTTGGAAAGAAGAAAGGAGAGAACCACTAACCACTTCCTAGGCAAGGGGAAAAAGGTGCTACAACCAACCGTCATGGGTGGTAAGAAGGAACTGAGAGGGCGTAGGCCTGGCGGCACCTAATATACTGACACATGAATGCGGCACTCCAGGGGGCACCACTGCCGACCCTACTGATACCAATAAGGCAAAAATCTCTGATGACCGTGCATATACCTAGAATGGAATCGACATGAGCAAGCACTCAAAGAAGAACAAGCTTTGTAGTTTTATGTTAACTGCAGAGCAAGCACTTTTGTAGCCTGACAAATTTCCAGAGTGCTAATCTACATGACAGCAGTGCTTTGCCTCTAACCTCACCAGCATTTCCTGACCCATTTGTTATACTCATAGGAGACAGTAAAAGATGGAGAAGAGAAAGACCTACCTTTCCTCTGTATCTGATGAATGTACACAATAGACTGATTCGCTCTTAGGAACCTTCAGAGAAGGCATTTCTTTAGATGAAGAGGATTCTGACTTTGGTGTCACGATTCTCTCTTTCTTAACAGAGTGTTGTGCACTGTCACAAGGAGGCTTGAAGTTTCCCAGTTCTGCAAGTACAAATCAAAAGATTAAACAACCAATTTAACCAAATATCATGAAGTTCCAGCAACGAATACAGAATATAGAGACTGGCAACAGGACCACAAACCACTACACAGTAAACTGTGCATTCCTCACTCAATATGCCCACCTTCAGAGGTGTCTGGGTATATTCACAAGATTGCCTTCAAAACACCAAAGTAGTTTATTGGTTGACAAACATGATATAACTGTCTCAATAACTAGAGCTCCTCTACTACTGCCAAAAATATTACTTGGTATATTTATATTCTTTAGAAAAATTACTTCAGTATCAGAAAAATCTTCTTTGATCTGCAGAACATTAACATAGTTCAAATCAGATGCAAAAAGCAGTTTGTAATCTTCTCTCTCTCTCTCTCTCTCACACACACACACACACACACCCCATTAAAATGGAGTTAGGACAAAAGCAGGCATCAGAAACTTAAAAATAATAGACAACAGACGCAACTATCCCAAAACCAAGGTGTTATAGACCCAGGATATTCTGATTAAAAGTTACACTTAACAGTAAACCAAACATGTTATGGAAATGCACAGGTAATGCACTCAAACAATCTGAATTCTGACCTCTAGAGAAGCCATGGAATAACAATGTGATTATGTTTAAGACATTTTAGAGCTTGTGGTGCCAGATTAGATGAAAAATCGTTGCTTACCTTGCAGCAGGTATTATGTATTCCACCCTTAGTGTGCATATGCCCATGTGCTTGACTTCAGATTCTTTTGGCCAGCAGTAGCTATTGGGTCTGTCCCTGTGCCCTGAGTGTCTTCATGTCTCCTCCACCCACAGGCATAAAGGGCAGAGTGGGGTCAGTTGTGTCAGTTGCTTTGCCCAATACAGGATTTAGAAGGTATAGGACTTTGCAAAAGCATGAAAAAAGGGCAGGTTGTGGAATACACATGGACAACATCTTGAAGAACAACAGTTACTGTAAGGAAAGTAACTTTTTCCTTCTGAGTGCTTGTCCACATATATTCCATTCTTGAAAGCAGTGACTGATATAAAGGTGGTGGTCGTTCAGATCTACTTAAATAAGGATTGCAACACAGCTCTACCAAAATGGGCATCAGATTTAGATGCCTCTTAAAAAGAATGTTTAGTAACTGGATGTGCTGATCCCCAAGATGCTGCTTTACAAATTTCAGAGACCTGAAGAAGAGCTCTGTGTAAGGAAAGAAAAAGGTCCTGAATTTTCTTCTGATCACCCTTAGAATCAGAGGGATTAGAGGGTATGCATACATCACCCCTGGAGTCCACAGTATGAGGAATGCATCTGCTCAAGATACAGGGGTTCCAATCCGCTCTCAAAGAAAGGTTTGACACTGTTCTTTTCCATGGCAAACAAGTTTATGTTTGGATGACCCCAGTCACAAAATACTCTTTGAATGATGGAGTCTTGATCACTGTCAGAAAACTGTCCGAGAATCCAACAATATATATTGTAATCCTAGCAGATGAAGAGTTATGACTGTTACTTGCTGAAGTTTCACAGGTGAATCACCTCCTGGCATAAAGGAGAAATCTGGCTAATCCCTGTCTGTTTATGTAAACAGCACTGTGGTAATGCCTGCCATTACCAAAACGGTCTTCCTTTCATTCAACGCAAGACATGTCACACATGCTAGGTAGACTGCTCTGAGTTCTAATATGTTGATGTACAGGTGTATCTCACACGCCCACAGTTCTTAGCCCTTGTGATGGATCAAATGAGCTCCCTATCCCAGATTGAAAGCATCTGTTACAAATATGTTTGTGGATAGAGCTGGAGAAAATGGAACATTCTTACAAACTGCATCTGGGTTCTTCCACCAATTTAACAATATGACAACTTCTTGTGGAATCTGAACTGGCATGTCTAGGTGATGTCTCCTTAGGCAACAGGTGGATTTCAACCACCCTTGCAAATAATGGAGGCACAGTCTGGCATCTCGAATCACAAATGTGGAGAGACCATATGGCCTAACATTCTTATCAGCTTATGTGAGTTTCTCTGACTGATTTATGGTCTGACAGTGTCAAACTTGATTCAGATAGAGCCTGCGAAAAGTTACACAGGGATCTCACAAAACTGGGTGACTGGGCAACACAATGGTGATGAAATTCAATGTTGATAAATGCAAAGTAATGCACATTGGAAAACAATCCCAACTAACTGTATAAAATGACAGGGTCTAAATTAGCTGTTACCACTCAAGAAAGATCTTGGAGTCATTGTGGATAATTCTCTGAAAACATCCACGCAACGTGCAGTGGAAGTAAAAAAGCTAACAGAATGTTGGGAATCATTAGGAAAGGGATAGATAAAAAAAAGAGAGAAAATATAATGCCTCTATATAAATCCATGGTACGCCCACATCTTGAATACTGCATGCAGATCTGGTTGCCCCATCTCAAAAAAGGAATTGGAAAAGGTACAGAAAAGGGCAACAAAAATGATTAGGGGTATGCAACAGCTTCCATATGAGGAGATATTAATAAGACTGGGACTTTTCAGCTTGGAAAAGAGACGACTAAGGGGGGATATGATAGAGGTCTATAAAATCGTGACTGGTGTGGAGAAAGTAAATAAGTGTTATTTACTCCTCATAACACAAGAACTAGGGGTCACCAAATTAAATTAATAGGCAGCAGGTTTAAAGCAAAAGGAAGTATTTCTTCACACAACACACAGTCAACCTGTGCAACTCTTTGCCAGAGAATATTGTGAAGGCCAAGACTATTACAAGGCTCAAAAAATAACTACGGAAGTTCATGGACGATAGGTCCATCAATGGCTATTAGCCAGGATGGGCAGGGATGCTGTCCCTAGCCTCTGTTTGCCAGAAGCTGGGAATGGGCAACAGGGAATGGATCACTTGATTATCTGTTCTGTTCATTCCCTCTGAAGCACCTGGCATTGGCCACTGTCGGGAGACAGGATACTGGGCTAGATGGACCTTTGGTTTGACCAGTATGCCGTTCTTATGGCTAGCAGAACCCCTATAAATTTTATCTTCTGAATCAGCATTAATGAAGATTTCTTTGTTGATACTGAGCTCCAAAGCAGCAAAGGTCTGTACAAAGTGACATGTACTGTTTGTGACTTGCTGAGAAGAATTTAATCTAATCACATCAGCCACACCATCAGGGGCTCGTTCACCTGCACATCTACCAACGTGATATATGCCATCATGTGACAGCAATGCCCCTCCGCCATGTACATTGGCCAAACCGGACAGTCTCTACGCAAAAGAATAAATGGACATAAATCAGACGTCAAGAATTATAATATTCAAAAAACCAGTCGGAGAACACTTCAACCTCCCTGGACGCTCAATTACAGACCTAAAAGTCACAATTCTTCAACAACAAAAACTTCAACAGACTCCAACAAGATAGATAGAAATTCCATGCTTGAATTATATGAGTATAGCAGTAGGAATATACTACTGACCAGGATGGTGATGGTGATTGTGAAATGCTTAGGGTGATTAGGCTATAAAAATAGAGTTTCAATAATAATAGGGAATTTCAACTATCCTCATACTGACTGGGTGAATGTCACCTCAGGATGAGGTGCAGAGATAAAATTTCTAGACATCATTAATGACTGCTTCTTGGAGCAACTCGTCCTAGAACCCACAAGGGGAGAGGTAAAGAATCCAGCGGAGGCAACAAAAATGATTAGGGGGCTGGAGCACATGACTTATGAGAAGAGGCTGAGAGAACTGGGATTGTTTAGTCTGCAGAAGAGAAGAATGAGGGGGGATTTGATAGCTGCTTTCAACTACCTGAAAGGGGGTTCCAAAGAGGATGGATCTAGACTGTTCTCAGTGGTACCTGATGACAGAACAAGGAGTAATGGTCTCAAGTTGCAGTTGGGGAGGTTTAGGTTGGATATTATGAAAAACTTTTTCGCTAGAAGGGTGGTGAAGCACTGGAATGGGTTACCTAGGGAGGTGGTGGAATCTCCTTCCTTAGAGGTTTTTAAGGTCAGGCTTGACAAAGCCCTGGCTGGGATGATTTAGTTGGGGATTGGTCCTGCTTTGAGCAGGGGGTTGGACTAGATGACCTCCTGAGGTGAAGGTCACCCTGGTCATTTGTCCAATCTTCCACTTCTTGTAAGCTTCTTTTTTGCGTTTAAGGTCAGCAAGGATTTCACTGTTAAGCCAAGCTGGTCGCCTGCCATATTTACTGTTCTTTCTACACATTGGATGTTTTTTTCCTGCAACCTCAATAAGGATTCTTTAAAATACAGCCAGCTCTCCTGGACTCCTTTCCCCCTCATGTTATTCTCCCAGGGGATCCTGCCCATCAGTTTCCTGAGGGAGTCAAAGTCTGCTTTTCTGAAGTCCACGGATTCGTCTCCCCATACAGCGATCAGATCCTGTACCTCACATTCAGTCCACGCTGGAGCTCTTTTGTGATTCTGGGACTCCATCATGGTCACCTCTGCTGATGAGATCTGCACTCACCTGCAGATTGCCACGCTGGCCAAACAGGAAATGAGATTCAAAAATTCACGGGCCTTTTCCTGTCTACCTGACCAGTGCATCTGAGTTGAGAGCGCTGTCCAGAGCGGTCACAATGGAGCACTCTGGGATAGCTCCCGGAGGCCAATACCGTCAAATTGCAACCACACTACCTCAAATTCGACCCGGCAAGGTTGATTTCAGTGCTAATCCCCTCGTCGGGGGAGGAGTACAGAAATCAATTTTAAGAGCCCTTTAAGTCGAAAAAAATGGCTTAGTTGTGTGGACAGGTGCAGGGTTAAATCAATGTAACGCTGCTAAATTCGACCCAAACTCGTAGTGTAGACCAGGGCTAAGTAGTATTACATGGGACTTTAATCTAGGTGTGGGTTCTTTAACCCAAGGATTCATTAACCCCTTCAAGAATCTTTGTACTATATCATGGCTAAATGAAGTCTTTGCTCAATTAAGCTGTGTGAGCTGGAGATGGCTGCAAGATGTACTTTTACTGACAATATGAGAGAGGCCCAGGAATTTCAAATGAACTATGTATTCAGGTATAGAGTGAACAGCAGCTGAAGCTGGGTTATGTTAATGGCAGGTGCCCACAAAGAACATTTTCCACTTATGATCATAACAAAGGCAAGTTGACTGTTTCCTGAAGTTTAATAGAATCCTCTGTACCTTCCCTCCACCCCCACAAACAGACCAGATACAGATCTGTCAAAGTCCTGTGGAGTGGAGACAGGAGCGCCGCCAGCTTTTCTGACGCCCTAGGCGGCGGAAGGTCCCGCCCCGAAATGCCGCCCCCCACAGAGGCGGCGGAAGGTCCCGCCGCCGAAATACCGCCGTGGTCACCGCCCCCCAAACTGTAGTGCCCTAGGCAACCGCCTAGGTTGCCTAATGGGTTGCGCCAGCCCTGAGTGGAGAGAGTCTAGAAATACAACCTCTTCTAGGTCAATAGGTCTGGAATTGCAGAGAGACACCGATAAATCCTTTGTGATAGGAACAGAAGATCTGAGAACTACTGTTGTCTCACTCAGGCCCCCCAAATTAGAATAATTTTGGCTTGGTCTTGTTTGATTTTCCTAAGAACTCTATGAATTAGAGGAATTGTGCGTAGAACAAAGAAGTCTTACTCCCTATTCTAAAAGAAAACACCTTCAAGATGAACTGGTTGCCTGTCCTATTTTGGAGCTCAACATTTGACATTTGGAGATGTGTCTTGTTGCAAACAGGTCTGTTTCCAGATACATCCAAGTATGTTTGCTACCAAGTTCTTGAGCAACTACTTCTGCTGATCATGTAGGTTTCTGCTCATCAATCTGCAAGTATGTAGGCAGAAAGCTATAGAATCAATGTAGTGTACTATGCACCACTCCCACAGAACTATAACCTTTCCGTCCATCTGGCTGAAATGTGGTCCCCCCAGCTTGTAGTAGTAGTATCAGTAAGTACTTGAACCACTCTGCCCTGTGATTGGGGAGAAAGGACCCTATATGAATAGACAGCAATAGAAATACTAACTACATCCAAAGATTTGACAAGCTCTTCCAGTTGACAAATAAAGGAGACTGTTCCCTCAGTACTCAAGAGCGTGTAGCAGATCCAAACGAGACCATGCTAGTGCAAGAAGTTTCCCTTCAACTATTTTGGGAGAAGGCTCCTTTTGTGGCTGCCTTTCTTCAGCCCTTTTAAATTCAGGGTAATACCTAAGAGAAGGCCAATATGACTGCATTGCTCGTGGTGGCACCTCCAATCTTGCCAGTATCCTCTAGAGAATTCCCCATCATAGCCCCTGGGTGAGAGAGGCTGATCTTGTCTGCCATTTGCCTTTATCTGTTAACTTTAAGGGTACACTGCAGATATCTATTTTAAGGGCTTTTGAAGAGGAGAGGGTATAGATTTGCTTAAGTTATAGTTGGTTAATAATAAGCGGGTAAGTTCTGATTTGTGAATTCTTGACAAAACTAAAAATACATCTTGAAACAAAAGCATCTTAGAACACAGAATTGGTGCAGAATTATAACTCTAAATAACTGTACAGCTTAACACCTGATCTTTAATATCTGACTGCTCTAATTTAAATAATGACAGGTTTCAGAGTAGCAGCCGTGTTAGTCTGTATCTGCATAAAGAACAGGAGCCACAAGTACTCCTGTTCTAATTTAAAGGAGTTTAATTATCATTTAAATGAATTTTGAATGTCAATTCCTGTCATACTTGTAGGAAACTGATTTTCATTTTTTAGTTAGCTTTGATTTTGTTGAAAGTTTAAAATGAAATTCCAAACTAAAAATCTATTACTGAAGCTTAAAATTTATTATAACTATGAAAATAATGGACAAAAATAAAGAATTTTAGTTCCTTGATAATTTAAATTTAGGGGAACTACAATTCTCCGCATGCTCATTTCATTGATATGTCTGAACATTCTGCAAAAATGAGTCATAAGTCCTGTTTATGTCAGAAGTGCAACACATTTTTAAAACTATGCAGTTAATACTGCCAGCCATTTGCACAAGATACTTCATGAATAAATATGATTAAGAATACAGAAATAAAGAATGACTTCTCCTACCTGTGGTGGCTGATTGGGATAGAGTGGTTTTGTTTGAAATTAAACTTGGAGTCAGTGGTATGCTTCGCTTCTTTATCCGCTCTATTAAAGATTCAAATTCATCCTCTGAGCTGTCTGGCCCTAATGCTGCACTATGTCGTAGTGCCATGGTCTGCGTGTTGTTCCGTGCACGCTCTTCCCAATCTCTTTCTTTCCCATCAAGAGATGAATTTGGACTATATTTGGAAATATCAAACTCTTTCTGTTTTTGTGAAGGAGTTTGCTGTATGTGTTGCAGGTTGTCCTTCAAGCCCCTCGCTTCCATTTCTTGGCAGTGGTCAGACCATGTACTTTTTATGAAAACAGAATCATCATGTTTACTGTCACTTAAAATCTCTGGATACAGCCATTCCTGAGAGTAAGTGTTTTCCTTTCTAGAAGTCACTGGCTTCTTCTGGGTCTGAACATTCTTCACTGCTACAATTCAAAAAGAAAAATTCAAAGACTTCAGAGACTTCAGCATTTATGTTTTAATGCAAGTTAATCAGATCCTTTGGAAAACATGAAAACACCAGGCAGAGAAAGGAATCTTAGCAACTTCCTCCAACTCATGCTCATTCACACCTAGGATCACACTACTTCCAATTGCACTGCAGACGATAAACAATCAAAAAGGTATGTATGTGGGGTCTACATTGTGCCAGCAAAAGGGGTTTAACTCAGTCTGATACAAGATAAGAATAGCTAGAGAACACTTTATTACAGCCACTCTTTCTGATAAAAGAAAGCTTCTGCAGTTATGCACACAAGAGTTTGTATTTAACTGATTATATGGTCAATTTTAGGTCTTAAATATGCAGCATGTGAAAGGGCATTGAAGGGAAATGAGAGAAGACTTGCCTTTGGCAGCTGGATTTTCTTATAAATAAAGGATTCAAATATGGAAAGGATTTTAAAGAGTACCACAAGTGAAGATATTGATATCCCAGTGTTAAAACAAGCATAACAGGAAGGAAGAGGAAAAAGGGAAGGATCATATGGAGGAATGGGAAATTGAGAATGAGGAAGGAGAGAATTAATCCAGCAAAAAGCGAACAGAATTGAACCTGTCCTGTTATCTTACCCTAAAAGGGACCAAACTTTTCCAAAGCTATGTCTGTGCTCTTCCTAAAGAATAATTGTGAGCTCTGAACAATAAGCATTCTTTCTCCACCCAGCTAAAACTCTTGTCCCCTCTTTGTTGCTGGAAGGCTACTTACCCTTCTTGCTTGTCTCATTCTTTCTTGTAAAATCGGAGAAGTCTTCCCTGGAGTCAACGATGATTTCATTCAAACCGTAGAGAAACAATAAAATGAGGCAAAGGAAGCCAGGAATGATTTTTGTCTTGATATAGGTAAAGCTGACAATAAAGCGGTCTGGTACAGTGTTCTAATTTATTCACTGGAAACATCCATTACTACCAAAGAACTCTCTCAATGTAACTTTTCGTTGTCAGTTACATTTTGTCAGTATTTTATCAATAAACTTCTAAGCACAAGACAGAACTCCATTTCAAGAATCATGGGCTATTTTGTAAGTTCAGTGCTACAGTAGGATGAGAACATGCTTGCAAACTAAGTTCAGATATTGAAATAGACCATTATCCCTCATTCTTGTTACTGGATAAAATGATACAGATAGGGAACCTTAAAGACAGAATTTATAAAATTCTGCTTAGAAATCACACTGTTGACCCAAAAAGTTGCCTTTAATGTGAAAGATGCAAAGCTGTCAGTACTGTTAAATCCTTGATCCATAAAAATCCACAGAGTACAGGCTGCCACATTGCAAACCTAATCTGCCTCATTCCTAATCTGCAGGAATCACTTCAACTGGTAAAAAGGGAGTTCTGTTTCCATGAATCATTCAACACTTGGTGCCTCCGCCAAAACTGCCAACTATGGGAATAATTAGTACCAGAGACAACAAAGATTGCGTGTTATGGACATCTCCTCTCCAAAACTCACCAAGACCAAGTCATTTCACATAGTGGTCTAATGACTGTCAGACAATAACTGTAAATCCAAACCTACTTAGCAGTGAAACCTGGTGACAGAGGTGAAAGGTTCCATTTGAGCATGGGGTTGGACTAGATGACCTCCTGAGGTCTCTTCCAACCCTAATCTTCTATGATTCTATTATATCCCACTACAAGCTATACAGTGCTCCAAAACAACAACAAAATAGTGAGATATGTGCCTCCAAATAACAATACTTCACATCCATGTAATGTTTTACATTTTAAAAGTGCTGTAAAAACTTTAGTTTTAAAAACAGCCTTATGAGTTATTAATCTTCATTTTACAGTGGGGAAACTAAGGCACAGGGAAGAGAAGCAATGTGACCAAGGCCACACTTGGAATGAGCAGCAGAGCCAGGATCAGAACTCAGAATGTTGACTTCTAAGCCTGTGCCCAATCCTCCAGACAATGACGATACCCTATGCAAATGAGAGAGGATCTAATTCATTTTTCCATATTCAAAATAACTCATTAATGGGACATTTTGGCTGCCATGGATTAGAAAAAAAAGTCTCTCTCTGACTAACTATAGACAATTCAATAATTCCAGGACCCACCTGCTATTTTGTTTCTTAGAGACTTGATGTGCTAGGAATTTTGGAGTCTTCATTCTAGATAAAACTAAATCAGAATGTGAGAGAATTACATTACAGGAAATTTATTTTAGCTTTCTAAAAGTGATCCCATTCCATGCCTTAAGGGCATATATAGACAAAAATTGTTACAACTTTTATATTACCAATAGTATCCAAATGTCTCTAGAACAAGGACCCTACTTAATCTCACAATTAAAATTCTCAGCTCTTCAGAGCAGAAGCAGCTCTTTGGCTACCCTCTCCCTCATCATTCAACCCTTGCCATGCCTTAAGACTTGGGAGAAAGAATAGGCTTTGCAACAAAGATTCACTGTAAAAAGGTATTCCAGAAGGAATTCATATTCTTGCAGCCATGAGGAATACATCCTCTCTACACTCATTGAGAAAGCAAGATTAACATTTTAACCACTCTTTACTTACATATTTCAAATTCTTCATCACTACTGGAAGAAAAGGGCAGAAGAGAGCTGCAAAATAAAGCACAAAACAGATGTGAGGAAGACAGTCACTTCAGAGGCGAGGAAGTTACTCACCTTGTGCAAGAACGATGGCTCTTCGAGATGTGTCACCCTATGGAAGCTCCACTGTAGGTGTTATCTGCACCCCAGAGCCTCTAATCAGAGATTTTAGGTAGCTGTGTCCGTTCAGCCTGAACATGCACTCTCCCTTCCTTGAGGCTAACTAGCGCTGTGCAGGCGAACCACCCTCAGTTCCTTCTCTACTGCAGAGCCCCTTGGTAAGAACTCCGAAGTAGAGGGGAGGAGGGCGAGTTGTGGAGCACCCATAGGGACACACATCTTGAAGAACCATTCTTACTGCACAAGATGAGTAACTTCCTCTTCTTCTTTGAGTAGTGTCCCTATGGGTGCTCCACTGTAGGCGACTCCACAGCAATATCCCCCATGGAGGGGTGGGGCTTCGGAGTGGAATCTGTTACTGATGATAGTATTGTGGAGCCAAAGATGGCATCAAGGCATGTCCCAGGTAATTGTGTAGTGATCTGCAAAAGTATGGGCAGAAGCCTCGGTCGCTGCCCTACAGATTTCTGAGATGGGGACATCTTTAACAAACATGAGCTATATGAAAATGGATCTTGTGGAGTGCATGTGGATCCCTGATGGAGGCAGCAGGTTATGTGCAAGGGGTAACAGTGGGTAATGCAGCTGGAGACCCATTTGGAGAGTATTTCCGCAAATGAAAGGAAGAGTTTGGGAGACTTACTAAAGTCCTTAGTCCTTTCCAGATAAAACTCCAAAGCTCTCCTAATGTCCAACATATGCAGTGTTGCCTCCCTGTTGTCAGAATGCGGTTTAGGAAAAAATATGGGGAGGTGAATTAGTTGGTTCATATGAAAGGAGGACGCTACTGTGACACCCTAGCACCCCCTTATTCACCACTGTCTTCTTTAAAGACAAGCTTTCTGTACACAGTACAGTACATCCTAACAGTGGACGTCTTCAGAGAACTATCCACGATGACTCCAAGATCTCTTTCCTGATTAGTTGTAGCTAAATTAGCCCCCATCATATTGTATGTATAGTTGGGGTTATTTTTTCCAATGTGCATTACTTTACATTCATCCACATTAAATTTCATTTGCCATTTTGTTGCCCAATCACTTAGGTTTGTGAGATCTTTTTGAAGTTCTTCCCAGTCTGCTTTGGTCTTAACTATCTTGAGCAGTTTAGTATCATCTGCAAACTTTGCCACCTCACTGTTTACCCCTTTCTCCAGATCATTTATGAATAAGTTGAATAGGATTGGTCCTAGGACTGACCCTTGGGGAACACCACTAGTTACCCCTCTCCATTCTGAAAATTTACCATTTATTCCTACCCTTTGTTCTCTGTCTTTTAACCAGTTCTCAATCCATGAAAGGATCTTCCCTCTTATCCCATGACAACTTAATTTATGTAAGAGCCTTTGGTGAGGGACCTTGTCAAAGGCTTTCTGAAAATCTAAGTACACTATGTCCACTGAATCCCCCTTTTCCACGTTTGTTGACCCCTTCAAAGAACTCTAATAGATTAAGTATCAGTTCTGTTAGTCTTAAAGGTGCCACAGGACCCTCTGTTGCTTTCTAATAGATTAGTAAAACATGATTTCCCTTTACAGAAACCATGTTGACTTTTGCCCAACAATTTACGTTCTTCTATGTGTCTGAAAATTTTATTCTTTACGATTGGTCGCGCAAACCCCTGACCAGCACTTCAAAATTGTTTGTTACCCGATGGCGGGAAGTAGTTTGTTGCGCCTGGTTTTGCCTGCGCCTAGGAGGTCTGTTGCGGTTTCTCCCAGTGTCATAGGGTCTGGACTGGGGTCGGTGATATTGTGTGCCTGGCCTCTGATAAGGTTGATACCGTGGTCTCCTGGGGATGAATGGGTATATGCCCAATGTGCGCAAAGTGGCTCTAGAGTCTTTCATAGTGTGAAGGACTTAAACTCTTTAAAAAAAAAAAAAAAAAATCTTTGTCAAAGGGGAGATCCTCCACTTTGGACTGCAAATCTTTGGGGATACCCGATGCCGAGTGCCAGGAAGACCGGCTCATCACCACTGCAGTGGCAGTGGTGCGGGCTGCTGGATCAGCCATATCCATGGATGCTTGTAGTGCCGTCCTAGACACCAACTGACCTTCAACGAGGACTAACTTGAAGTCCGCTCTCCTGTATACGGGAGGCAAATCAAAGAGCTTGTTGTAGTTGTCATGGTCATAGCTTGCAAGGAGGGCGGAATAATTTGCAATTCTAAATTGTAGAGTAGAAGAGGTATAAACCTTGCGGTCCAGGAGGTCAAGGCATTTGAGGTCCTTGTCCTGCAGAGTGGGCCGGTAGTGTGGCTGCTTTATTCTCTGCGTCGCTGCATCCACAATAGAATTGGGTTGTGGGTGGGAAAATAAGAAATCAACATCCCCCGCGGGCACGTAGTATTTATGTTCAGCTTTCTTGCATGTTAGTGGAATGGAGGCAGGGATCTGCCAAAGAGTATCAGCTGGTTCTAGGAGAGCTTTGTTTATGGGTAGGCAGGAGCTGGTAAATCTTGGAAGGGTTCATAGCCCATGTCTTCAGGACGGGGTTCAGGAGCTCTAGGTGTTGATAGAGCTGGGGATATAGGCGTAGGACGAGCTTGCGGTCTGGTAGAAGGGGCGCAAGGAGGAGCGGTGGCAGGAGCCGAGCATAGGTACCACTGAGGCCAGGTAGGAAAAGTTGGGTCCCGGCCACTGGGGGACAAAGTAGGGAAACTGAGGCTGATTCTTATGATGCCCCATGTCTTGGGGTATGTATGGCTCCAGTGGAGGGGAAGACTCAGGCAGGGAGAACTCTGTCTGCTGCTGTGTGCTGTTCTCACTATCAGTGAAAGTATCCAGATCAGGTGGTGAGAGCTGCTGTTCAAACAGTGAGTGCTCCGTGTCTAGGAGCAGAGAGTCAGGCTCAGGGGCCACAGAGATATCCTGCTGGTGCAGGAATTGTTGCTGCTCCCTAGGCTGGTGTGCTGCAGAACGTGAAGTGTGAGCGGCAGCCCGGAGTGATTTTAGTTTCACTTTTGCAGGAGCCGAGAGCCGGTGCCGACATTCTTGTTGGCACTGGGGTGGAACCCATTGTCAGCACTGGGTCCATTGTCGGTGCCGGGGGTACCAGTGCCGAGGAGAGCTTCCCACTGCAGGAAGTCGGGTCCCTGCTTTTCAGCCCCGTGTGAGTTGCTTGTGAAGTGCAGGGGCGGTCAGAGTTTACCCTTGGTGCTGTCAGCACCAAAAGCAGGCAAGACCCTGTGGAAGTTTTTTTACCCTTTTGAGTGTCTCTGACATTAGGGCTTTCTGCCTCTTCGCGCGAGAGGGTGAAGCTGAGCTCCCGGTCGGTTCTGACCTGGCAGGGGAGCCTGAGGGAGAGGGTTTACTGCTCTTCTCCATAGGTGGCTGCAGAGCTTCTTGCCTCTTCGCATGAGAGGGTGAAGCCATGCTCCCAATTGGTTCGGACCTGGCTGGGGAGCGTGAGAGAGAGGGTTTGCCATTGCAGGTCTCCAGAGGCGGCGGCAGGGATTTCTGCATGAGAAGGATTTTCAGCCACAGGTCCCTGTCATGACGAGCCCTAGTTTTGAGACTCATGCAGTGGACACACTTGGCAGGGACGTGTGTCTCACCGAGGCACTTCACACAATGTGAGTGTCCATCAGACCTTGGCATAAAGTCCTGACAGGAAGCACATTTCTTGAATCCTGAAGCCCCTGGCATTATTGCGCTAGGAATGCCAGGGGAGAGTCTCTCAGCGGGAGACAAAGTAAACAAACAAAACAAAAAAACTTTTTTCTTCAAAACTAAGTAACTATTCTAAAGGAAGGGAAACAACTGGGAAGTTACTAACTATTTCTAGGTTCTTTGTAATTGTTTCCTTCAGAAACCAGGGAAGAGGATCAGCACTGCCCCAAGTCCAGTCTTCAGCCGAGGCTGGTTGAGAAGGAACTGAGGGGGGTGCGGGACGCGTGCTCTCAGGCAGACCCTAACGACGCCACGAGACAGCAGCTGAGCACGTGCGTCCCGACCAGGCACTGCTACCGAAGATCTCCGATCAACCGCACCGGGATGCGCCATCACCTAGAGTGAAGCACTCACAAGGACAGCACTTGAAGAAGAATTGAAGGCGGTTCACCCGAGCAGAGCTAGTTAGCCTCGAGGAAGGGTGGGTGCACGTGTGGGCCCAACGTACACTGCTATCTAGAATCTCTGATTAGAGGGACAGGGGTGCTGACACACCTTCAGTGGAGCACTCATAAGGACACTCCTTGAAGAAGAACCGATGGGCAGACAACACTACACAGATCAAGATCACAACTCGTCAGAAAATTTCAGTTTAAATTTTTGACAGATATTCTGCAATTTTTTTTCTCCTTTCAATCAGCTCCAATCAGTTATTTACATTTCAAGTGGATTAAGAACTCCAACTGCTTATTTCTGAAGCTATAGAAAGAGAAAATGTTTCAAAGAAGATTTCAATATGGTTTAAGGAAAATTTAATGTCAATCTCAGAAACCCTGCCAACATATGATAAGCTAAAAATTCAACCTGCTGCACACAAGAAGTCATAAGAAAGAACCAGGACCTCTTTGGGGAAGAGTGGTCTCTATACCATCTTCTCCTAAACAGTAGGATGAGACATCCCCCAACCAGACAGCGCAATAGTCCAGGGTCCTCTGAGACAAATTTAAAAAAAATAAAATAAAACCTCAACTAGAACCAGCAGTTAACCCAGTGGCATCCCCAAGCAAAACTCACCTTCCACAGTAACATCAGCTTCTGGCAAAAGCTTGAGTAAACAGATAAGCCTTATTATACATCCTGACGGTTAACATACCCAGGCTATTATGGAACAAGGATGGGGAAAATAGTTTCAAAAGCCAAGTACCTCTTTTTGAGAAAAAGAGTAGAACATTCTCTAAGCAAGGGAGGTCCTGCTTGAATGCCTCTGCTGATCATAACTATGGCAGTATGACATACAAAATGGTAAATGACTGCCTAGGAAGGAGTAATGCAGAAAGTGATCGGGGGGGTCACAGTGGACCATAAGCTAAATATGAGTCAACTGTGAAACACTGTTGCAAAAAAACAAAAAACAAAACAAAACCCCACACATCATTCTGGGATGTATTAGCAGGACTGTTGTAAGTAAAACACAAGAAGTAATTCTTCTGCTCTACTCCATGCTGATTAGGGCTCAACTTGAAGATTGTGTCCAGTTCTGGGTGCCACATTTCAGGAAAGATGTGGACAAATTGGAGAATGTCCAGAGAAGAGCAACAAAAATGATTAAAGGTCTAGAAAACATAACCTATGAGGGAAGATTGAAAAATTGGGTTTGTTTAGTCTGGAAAAGAGAAGACTGAGAGGGGACATGATAACAGTTTTCAAGTACATAAAAGGTTGTTACAAGGAGGAGGGAGAAAAATTGTTGTTCTTAACCTCTGAGAATACGACAAGAAGCAATGGGCTTAAATTGCAGCAAGGGAGGTTTAGGTTGGTCATTAGGAAAATCTTCCTAACTGTCAGGGTGGTTAAGCACTGGAATAATTTGCCTAGGGAGGTGGTGAAATCTCCATCATTGGAGATTTTTAAGAGCAGGCTAGACAAACATCTGTCAGGGATGGTCTAGATAATACTTAGTCCTGCCATGAGTGCAGGGGACTGGACTAGATGACCTCTCAAAGTCCATTACAGTCCTATGATTCTATGACATGGAGAGCGGCTCTCTCTCAAATAGGCAGCCTTTTACAGGTCAAAACCAACACCTTAAATCAGAGTATTTGGACTGAAATTCAGCCTGCTAGGTCTCATCTGTGCCCCAGTCTCTCACAAACATTGGATTTGGCATTCAAAGCCACTAGCTATTGTGTTCTGTATGTAAAAAAAAACCAAAAAACCAAAACACAAATTCTCAGATTTAGGAAAAGGGATACAGAAGCTCTTCCAAACAGAAAAACAAGATCTTAAAGAAAAAATAAGAACAAGATAAAAATCTGTATAAAAGCAAGACAACTTATCTGCAGACAACTTTATCATCACATAGTAAAGACAATAAAATACAACTTTTGAACAGATGAGAGACCAGCCCTTTAATCTCTTATCAAAGTTTTCTCACCTGTCATCCTTCGTGCGCCAGCATTCTGCTGTCACTTTCTTTTTGGTCTTTATAACTGGAAACCGAAAACAGAACAGATCATCTTTCCAGATAGGATTGCACAAGGAGGGAAGCCTCAACAAGGTTAAAGTCAGGAGTTAATTATTTGTTTAACTGTAATGCCTAGGAGACCTAGTCATTAGGTAGGACCCCATCGTGCTAGGCATTGTACAAACACAGAACAAGGAAATCCCAGTTTAGAGAGGATATACTATCTAATCAGTCATTAATCTTCCACTCAGTAGCCACTTCCAACAGGATGGATTGATTTAAATCAAAGCAATTTAAATCAGCAAGCAAGAAACATTATTTAAATCAATTTTAATCTTGTTTTGCATTTGTACTTTTTAGTTATTTTCCTAAGGAGGAAAATCGACTTTCATTAGTCGATTACCAATAAAATATGTCAATTTGCAGCTAAAAATAGCCTTAATACATCATTCTGTTTCACTCTGTAGTTGCTTAACACTTCTGCCTTTGCTACATCATGAACAATTTTACCATCTCCATCTAGAACACTGTTAGGATTCCTTTCCTTCCTGATATATTTAAACTCTTTAGCACAGTCAGCCATGGATTTTCCTCCCAATTTCTTTGGGTTCCCTTATCAAGTTTCTGCACTTCATAAATTCTCATTTATATTGATTGCTATCTACTGCACCTATTCCCCATTTGTAATATAGGTTTTTTAAGCACAGTGCTGGCAGTGCCAAGGTCAGTTTATAGAACCTAGAAGAAGGTTTTGTAGCTGAGGAAGACTGTTTAAGGGTCTGCATGAACCCCTGCCTGGTACCTCAGGCAGTTCAGCTGATTTCACCCAAAGAGATTCCCAACAGGAGAAAGGCCTGGAGTCTAAGGTGATATTCCCTAAGGGTTTACAGTGTGTAAGCCCAGTAATCATCATATCTGTCTGGGGGGTGCACTTCTCCCAGACTGCAGAGACGGTGGAATGGGCAACCTGAAAAAACCCCCCAAACAAAACAAAATACCTTATCCCAGGGCAGCAGGCACACTGTTTGAAGCCTTTTTGTGTGTGTGGGGGGGGGGGGGGGGGGGGGGGGGAGTGAAGGGTTTATTGGCTGGTACACACCAAAAAAGGGTAAGATTACCATAAGTCTATACTGGGGGAAAAAAATGGAAATAACTAGAACTAGATACACTAAAGAATTACTCTATGACAGAATCAGACAGCTCTGAATTTCCTTGAAGCTGCAGTCTTTGGCAGATGACTTGAATTCCATGAGTGGAAATATGTAGATGTTCCCCATAATGTGTGTTCTCTTCCCTTTATCTGTGTCACTTACTTAGGCCCTGATCCTGCAGACAGTTACATAACACTTATATAGCATACTGATGAGTAGTCCAATCAAATTTAATGTGACTACTCATGTAGCAATACTAGGAACTTCGACTGCAAACTTCCAAAGTAGACTCCTGTCATTATGATGTCTGCAAAGTACATTGCACGTTTTGGTGGCTCTGTTTGAATAAAACAAATAAACTACACCTCTACCTCGATATAACGCTGTCCTCGGGAGCCAAAAAAAATCTTAACGCGTTATAGGTGAAACTGCATTATATTGAACTT